ATATAGGTTATACATCAGAATAACACATAGGGTACTTTTTACTGGGAAAACTTCTCACTCCCACGGGATACCGACTTCCACGCGGACGAAGTCGCGGGCGTCCACTAGTACATAAATATAACAAAACATTTTATCTAAACTTAAATCGTAAAATTCGAATTCCGAATTCAAAGACGATACTATAAATACGCACTTTATAAACGCATATACATAAAATTAAAAATAAAACTCATTATAGTACCGCCAACTGTATCATAAAACTCATTATAGTACCGCTATCGTTTTTTATTCATTAAACTAGTTTATGGTTTTAGGCTGAATATGAAAAATGACGCACGCATGCGTAGTTTGAATTTTATTTCCCGCGTTTCCAATACATTTTTTTTCCAATCATGTATTTGTATTCGGGATTCCAAAAAAATACTTTTTTGTAACCTACCTACTTTATTTGATTTAAATTTTTCCTATAAAGTAGATAAAGTAGTGTAACTTAGGTATTAAAACACTCGAGTCAACTACAATTCAAGTATGCCTACCTTTAAGCTAAAGTAATCGTTGTTACTTTTTTTGAAAAACAAGCTAAAAAATATAATGTAAACGATGTCTGTTCTTCAAACTCTAGACATCTGTGGTTATATTTTAATTGATTTTGGCTTATTATTTGTTATTCATTTATTCATTAGTATATGTGTTTGATGTGAATTCACATACAGGATTCTTATCCTCATTTCATAAATATAATTCGACGAAGAATTCTACCTTTAGGGTACCGTGCTAAAACAGGAAAATCGAAAACCATAAAGATTCACAACTGTCTATCGTATGTGATTTTCTCGCAAACTACAGGTTAGATTGAATTAAAATTTAGTATACATATGTACCAAAGACGGTTCTGTAGGTTATCATGTGAATTTTAAACACAATAATAAATATAAGACAACATGACATACATTGTTCAGATTTCAAATTGAGTCTCTAAAGCCTCCGTATTATGGAGTATCTGAGACAACGAAGAAAGAACAACACTTTTCGATACCGGCTCAACCGGGAATAGAACTCGGAACCTTAGAGATAGTGACACATTGAAACCGACGTCCATAACACTTGGCTACGGAGGCCGTAAAAACCACACAAGGTTTAAATAATATAAGAAAATAGGTGTAAATTGATCTCTCCTAGATTTCCTGTTAGTCAGATTCGTGCTTGATCGATCTTTTTGCGTTCAGAATTCACGAATTAAGAGTTCTTTTATTAAAAGTTTTCTTTTCTATTTTCTGAGTAAATCTCTAGATTTTATTTGACTCAATCTCTTCTTTTTTCTTGTCAATCAATTCACACAATTTATATTGAATAAACATTGATTTACCAATACTTATTCGCGTTATATGTCGTTTACGTAATGAACGTACTGGAATTCAATTATCCTGCTCGCCTTCCTGCCGATTAGAGTAAATCAAATTACATGTGTTTTTTCCGATATAATCAGTTTGAATATCTAACTCTGATTCTCAGCCTCATCCTATTCTGTTTTAATATCAAAACTGTTTGGGGACTTTTTTCTACCATTTAATAAATCCAAATTTCAAACTTACTTGGTCTTAGATATTATCAGCATTCCACTTTTCTCTTGAATCACTCTATATATTGATGAAGACCGCATTAAATCTGTTGAGTGGTTTGAAGGATCTGAGCGTACTGACAGCAGGAAGCTTTTATACTATACGATTTTAAAACCAAGCACGACCTCATTACCCCTGACAAGATCAATTTTTAATTGACAGCAGCTTTATTAAATTCTTGTTTTATTTATAGAACGTGTAACTTAATGTTCTATTTCAAATATATCTTTAATCTTAAAAAAACTTTTATAAAAGCCTCTTTCTTCATATTCAGACTTTTTATTTCTATTTTTAAATGTTGTCTTGATATTATCTTTACCGCGGTCATAACTTTATCCCTAGATACTCTACTTTTTCGTCTTCAAAGAGCGGACTGAATTGCTTTGGGCCTTCTTAAATGAGGGTTTCTGAATAAACTGTGTCGTATATCACCGTTTCAGACTCCGTTTCCCAGTTACTACACCATAACGCTCTTAAAATAATTAATACGTACATTTTAGAACATACTCATTAAATAAACCATTTACTATTATACCTTGCAAATTAAAATAAATTTCGAAATATGTTTCTTAATATAACGGAAATTGTTGAAAAAAACAAGAAATATAATGATGGAAAATATTATTTGCTTTTTCATCATCATCAGCCCTTTTAATATTTGCTTTTTAAATATCCCAATTTCATTTCATTCCTTTTCTACATATTTATATCAAAAATAAAAATGTAAAAATAACATATTTCCTTTCTCATACAAAATGTTAACCGGTTATGAATAAAAAAGTTCTTCTGTAACCCGGATACAGCATTTGTTTATTTATGACTATCAATAGCAAGATTTCAAAACATCTGCTCTGTTAGCGACGCTCAATAATATCGTAATAGATACTGCATCTATAATGGTTTTGTCGACTTCAAAGAAAAGATCAGGTGCTGATGTCCAAACCTATTTTATTGTATAAGCAAACGTTTAAGTTTTTTTGTGATGATGATAATTTGAATAAAAGAAAGAGGATAGCATTCCTATCGTAATTCACTATAAATTGAATTAAATTTATATTTTCAAAAAAACATAAAAAAAAGAATCAGGAACGCCATCAATATAAGACCTCCGTAGCCGTATGGTTCGCACGCCGGTTTCGAAGTGCCACCATCTCTGACGAAACAGGTACGATTACTGGTCACGTCAATGTAGAAAATGTACTTTTCTATATTGTCTCGGGTCTCAGGTGTTGTGTTACTTTCGTTGTGTCAAATAGTTCATACGGGAGCATTATCTACCCATCTTGAAATCTGAGCAATGTATGTGATGTTGTCTAATACTCATTTAATTATATTTATATAAACATAAATACAACACGCTAAATCATTTTGGCTATTCAAAATATATTCTTTGATGTCTAAGGTATGTTAAAGAAAAAAAAAGAAAAGTTAAGGGAAAACAGTTTAATAGAAATAAGATGAATAGATTACTCGATTCAAATTATTAGATGACTCAGTATATAAATTTTGTTTCAGATGGATTGTACGATGTACCGACAAGTATGATAGTACTATTGTCGTTTCTATACGGCTCCATATCAGTGTTGGCCATCGTTGGAAATTTCCTAGTGATGTGGATAGTGGCGACATCTAGAAGAATGCAGAGTGTCACTAACTGTTACATCGCAAACTTAGCACTAGCTGACATAGTTATAGGATTATTTGCTGTACCATTCCAGGTAATCTAAAGAAAAATTCATATGTTTCAAATAGAACGGTGAAGCCATAAATTGATAAGTCGTTTCAGTTAGTCTTAATACCGATGGAAAATAAACAAAGTATAAAATAAACAAAATTTGTTATTGGAACTTGTGTGTGCACATATTTCTTGGAATCACCGGTGTAATTGAAAATTATATTAGTCTTTCAGTTTTTAACACTTTTTGTTTATTTTGTGTGTAACATCACACAAAATCAATACTCGGATCTTAAGAAGTTTTCACCAAAAATAATACTTTCAGAGAATTTTAATAATAAGAATTTGAATAATACTTGAGGATTTGAACAGAGAAGTGTCCAGATAAGCTGTAATCAAAAACGTACAAACTACATCTTATGCAAGGGGTCCTGAGAAGGCCAAAACCTGAATTAATAAAATTTTGTTGATAAGAAAAAAATGACTAAAGATACTCATTTTTCCGCTTTTTACTGTCGCAATTTAGCTGAGGATTTTACAGAGAACTTTTATAATAATCGTAATAGTTTGCGTGGAAGTAAAATTAGTTTTTTTAATAAAACATGCTTAATAATCTGAAAGATAATGAAAGGTTCTTAGTTCGAGAGTACCTGGGGCTGGTTTATTTTTTAAACTTCTGTCATTAAAGGTATTAGTCAGTATAACATTTTGAATGTAAAATTGATTAAATATAATACTCGTATTTAAAATTAGTTTCCTATCTTTCTTCTCATAGATGGGCAAAGTCAGATAAGTATTTTGTTTTTGCGCCCAACTTTAATAAAATTGGTGTTATTATCACTTAAAGCAATCTCTTAGAGATAATCTTTAAACATCCCTGTGGTTGACATAGTGCTTTCACGTACTTTTCTAAAATGAATACCTTTTCAACGAAGATAATTCAATTTTTCATAGTATCGCACCCCCGGTGCGACACTGTCACTTTTGCAAAAATGTAGTTTTTGAGGAGAAGCATTTAAAACTTTGACACCTCACAAAACAATGACTTTAGAAGATATACATGAGATAAATAGCTTATATTACAATGACAACTTTTATCTTTACTTTTGGATAAATAATGATCACTTAATGTTGTAAAAAAAATACTATATCATTATTTTAACCTTTTAACCCCCTCAGAAGTGACGTTGTGGCTCTAACAAAAAAATATAACTGTAGTTATGTCACACTTAGTTAAAAAGAAAACAGGAAAAAATTATTTACTAAGTTTTATTTTAAATCAAAAATAATGTACTGTTATTAACAAAAAAAAACAAAATTCTAAAAAAAAACATAAGAAACTTTGTACTTCTTAATATTAATATTTCTACATAAATGTAGTACAAAAAGAATAAAACAAAGTTAAGAAATATCTGTTTTTATCTTAGAGTCGGTGAGAACTTAAGTTAATATTTACTTATAATTAAAATTAAAAGTAACTTTGGGCTCAATACTATTGCTTCTAGATCTAATTACTAGAATTGTAAGTTTAATCAGACTTGTGATATCACAGCGAGTTAATTACCTATATTTTTAATAATTATTTTAGCATAGTATTAGGAATCCCTTACTAAATTATTCAAAACAATTAACAACAATTATACATAAATTTGTTACATAATAAAATATTAAATTCGTTTTCAACACGTATTACAAGTTTAATAAAATTAAATGAGATCTCTATAGAACTTTTCATAGTATCTTGGCACTATGTTTGTGTCTACCAAACTCAAAAGGTCGCGCTTCTTGCGTTCTGTAATAGCAATCTTCGAGGTATACGCTGGTTTCAAAGCGACCTCATTAATACTTGTAACATTGCCTCGACCTCGATGTAAGTTATGTCTATTAGATTCTATCATAGCTATGGCCTCTTCCCAGTTTTCGGTCTTGTAGGTTGTTCGATATTGATAATTGGCGCAATTTTTAATAAACTTAATACTCATAATCTCGCTAATTTTAATTGCATCCCCGTTAATATTTTTAGTCATGTTAAAGTTTATGTTATCTGCCAAAGCCTTAAGATCGACGAATTCACTGTAGTTCATTTCTTTAACCAAAAATGGTTTCCCTGTCTTCTTTGCTCCTTGTATTATGGATATATATTGTTCAGGAATATAAATGGGCCCAGATTTTTTGGCTCTAGTGATGACTTTTTCGATTACAGAATGTGCTGTGTCGCCTTCGTTTTGTGTATGCCCACGTACCAAGAAGTTGTGTCGTATAGAATTTATGTTTAATTTAGTTACTGCGAAATAGTACATTGCAAATACGAATCGGTTTTTTTGCTGACCGCAGCAATTATCTGAGTAAAAAATTACGTCACAGCCAGGATACTTATTAGCAACTTCTAACAAATATAAGTACACACAAGATCCAATTTCTATAGATCCCCTGTTGCCTAATCCTTCATGCCAAAAATAGCATGTAGTTTCTCGATATTTTGCATTGGAAATAGTAAAATTGTAGCAGTTTAGTCTAGATTTATAAAAAAAAGCTGATGAAATTCCTAAAGGGCATGGCAAAACAGCTTGTAAGTCGTAGGTACATACAATCTTTGTGCTTTGAGGATCTTGACATTCTTTCATGTCTCTATCTTTTTCGATCCTACTCAAGCTCTTTTCTTCTTGGTGAATCTTGTAGCTGGCATATAATTTTACTTTTTCTTGTTCCGGTGCATTTTTGTATGCAACGCATTGGTCACAAAGATCTTTCTTCGGCCTAAAAAAGCCAATGTTAAAATCATGATTAAAAATGCGTTGATAGGCGTCGTAATTAACAGCTGGCTTATTATTTTGTTTCTGTACTTCCTTATAGTTTCTGTGCAATTCTGCAATAGTCAAGCCACCGTCAATAAAAAGCCTACTTGTGTTTGCCCTCAAATAGTGGCTTTCCACTTTAGGAATAGATTCAATGTGGTCTTTGACGGCTTTTATCATATCATTGTCCAATTTGCAATGCTTCCCGTGTTTGCCTCGGTGGTCTTCGGGAATGATACCGTCATTGAGTTTTGAAGCATCAATGACAGTTCGTATAGTTCTTGGCGAAATACCCAAGGTGTTAATTAAAAATGTTTTGCAAACCCTGATTGACTGACTATCATTGAGTAAATAAAATGCAGAGTTCCCTTGTCTCGGGTACCGACGATTTGTTTTAATACGCCGGCTTGCAATTTCCAGTGGTCTGATGCAGGAATTCAAAAAATCACGGTGTCTTTCTATGCTGCCTAGCTCCCAATAAGATTTGAATATTTGAATTCTTTTTTCTTGGGTAAAATGAGATGAGCAAGCCAGCCGACACTTACCTGAACAAGAGGGACCAATTTTTCTAGCCTGAACTGTTTTTCCTGTTTTAATTGATCGATATTCATTACCGGAATTCCTTAACTTCTTTGCTATATTTTTTTTCCAGCTATTAGGATTACGAGTACGTTTTCTTCCCCTTGTTTTTGGTGATGATGTTGATTCTTGGTCATCAACAGCCTCATTCTCAGAGCTACTATCACTAGATGAACTACTCGAACTGGAAGAATTTGAGGATGAAGACGAACTAGATGGGGGCTTGAAATCATCACTTGAATCAGTACCAGTTGTACATCCAGTTTGGTTTTCTGTTGAATTTTCGTCGTCGATAACAGTATTACTATGTGGGGAGGTAAGATTTGGTAAAACAGAGTTACTGCCGTTTTGGTTGATATCAGATGGTGGAACTGAAAATTCGACGGCTTCATTTCTTTCAATGGGCGATGTTGGACGTGTCAGTAATACCAGTTTTTTTCCCCGAGACAGCATTTTATTTCATTTAAAAAACAACTGAAAATAAGAAAAAGGATCAAAATAAAAAAAAAACGTTTGTACAATCACCACTGTTCGTTAGTCCAAAACTAATTCGAGCTTTAATAAATAAATATCCGACACTATTACAACCAATATATTTAAAGTCAAATTACAAGCAATATGACCTAGTAGGCACAATGGCTCACCTAATACAAAGAAAAACCTTAGTTTGAGACCAGGTGATTGGTGTAAATTGTGTGGCACATTTATTTAAAAACGCAAGGATTGGGAAAACAAAGTCATTTATTAATAAAGGTCATTATAGTACATAACTAAATTTTGAAAGATATTTAAATATTGGGGAAATAATGTCACAACTGTATCTTAGGTCACTATTGCTCCAGAACCAATAAAAATTTTATGTCACAATTACCTTAGTAACAGTGTAGCTCCAAGACATATTTGCACTGGCGGCGACCGCGCACAACTAACCAATAAAACGATGCTGCTCCCAGCGTCGCCGTGATTCGCGCCAAAACGACAATGACACTCACGCCCTCATACGGAAACTATGCGTACTACAAAAGTAACATTATCGTACCAAGTAAAGGGGTGCTTTAGGACCATTATTACATATTTAACTAATTTTTGTATTTTTTGCAAAAGTGACAGTGTCGCACCGGGGGTGCGGTATTTTCATATGAGTATACCTTATGTACAGGTCTCAAAACAGTTTGCATCTTAAATGCAGCAGCCTGAGTGTGCAATGGCAAGCATGTTTGACCTGCAATGCGGAAGTTAAGCTTTAAGTTTTCGTAAGGGCTGATCGTAGGATAGGTGATTAAAAATTAATTATATCGAGCTCCTTCGTAGTTACAAAGGCATATTAAGCCAATCGTTAATTATTATTAGATCGATCTGTAATTTCTTATGGCTTCTTATCCCTGTTCGAATCTATCCATAAGAATAAAGGAAAGCCTGTGCGTCGACCCCTTGTATTGGGGACATTAACAGGTTGATAATGATAAAATCCTCTGTTCAAGGAGGTTTTAGTGTATGAAGTTCTTGGGAAGGTCTCAGTGCCTGTAGTTGAGAAAGCCCTTTCTACGATATAAAGTTAATTACGCCATTAGCATCGACTTTTTTGGTCGACATTTTTTTTATCTTACGCGGGTGACATCATTACATATCATAAAATAAAGTTGCTTTCTCTGTTTAAAACTACGCAACGGATTTTGATGCGGTTTTTTTCAGAGATAGGGTGATTCAAAAGAAAGGTTAGATTAGAAAGCTAGTAAGCTATAATTTATATGGGCGAAGACGTAGAAAACCGGCTTGTTATGTAACAGTCTTTTTTTTTACAAACCACTAACTTTGTATGCGGTTTTAGTACATTCCATCATATTTTTGTCTGGCGACACAGGCGTCGTTAAAAGGGTCGAAATAAAGCAATCAATAGTAGTAATGCGTCCTACCTAGAATAGAAAAGTTATTGTTATACAATTTCATCTAAGTAATATTATGATATTATTTGACTACTTCTATTCAAGTGAAATTCGGTTGTTATGGAAACAACATGAATAAAATTTTATTTAAAAGACTTTTAAAATAGAACCGTTTTTTCCATTGACTTGGAGTGTAGGATATTTAGGGTTAATAATGTATGTACGAGTATGCAAGTTTCTTTATACCGACATAAATTTTGAAAGACTTGAATATGAATATATAGAGTATCATTAATCGTTTTGTGGAACATTTGTAATCTATGGGATCTCCCAACGAAAATGACAATTTCGTTTATGGCTTGAATAATAAAACTGTTTTATTATTATTTTTTTAGTTTGATTCTGGCTGTCAAGTAATTTTAAATTATTGATGTATTATTAAGAATCAGAAAAATATATTTATACCAAGTTATTTCGTTGATTATAATACATGTGTCGTCACAGTTATGGAAAGTAAAAGCTTCAGCATGCATAATCTACAATTAGTTGAGTATATAGATATCTATTGGTTTAAGGTTAAGTTTCAATTTAAAGTCATGTTTCTGTGAGTACCAAACTATATTACAACAGTGTGATTTATTAGATGCTAGTCTTATGAAATATGTTTGTTTACTTTGAACTATTTCTAGCCATTTGGAAGCATGAGAAACAGAGAACGACCGGTATAATCTTCTTGAAATTTATGCACAGGTAACGCAAGTAAAAATTATAATGTATGTAATATATTACTTGTCGGTATTATTTCTTTATTATTATTGTACAATAATTTTCTTTATGAATTTGTTTTCTGGTCGAAGACTCTAGGGGGATTAATTCCATTCTACACATTTTTGTTGAGCTTATACTAAAAAGCACTACATTGGTTTGACAGATCTCATATACGTATATAATACGAAATACTTAATTACGCGTTAAATATTGAGAAATATTTAATATGTATTTTTTTTTGCAAATTACTGAACAAAAATTTTAATTATATTTCTCGATTTTATTGCGTTCCTCACAGGATTTTAGAAAAAAAATACACGAGGTCTAACATTCATACGTCCATAAGTTTGGCGCAAAGACAATGGAGTCTTTTTTGTTTTTAAATATTGATGTTTAATGTTGCCCTCTTTCCAAAAATATAGTGTGCTGGTAGTTTCTACGATTTTGTTTCTCGGAGGTATAAAATCGAGAAACTCCTTTCTAATTTTTTTTTCACTTGTTGATTCCTATGTAAAAAGGACAAAATAACAATAAAACCGAAGCCCAAGTCCTATCCTAATGATTTAATGTGATTTTATATGAAGGATCTGTTGGATGCTGAAAATTTTACGAGTAACATTTATCTTATAAGGTCGTGAGTTGGATATATTATAATATATAAACGCAAAGAATAGTAAATAAGTAGGGATTTTTTTTTCATAAATATGAATACCATTGTGAATATGACTCTTAAATTAGAATTAATATAAAGTAACCTATACCAACAAAATTAAAGAATTTATATAACCCAATAAATATAGGCAGAATGTTCGAATGTTTGAGAACGATGTTTCACCTAAATTTACATTTATTTAGGTTCAAAGCCTGCGGCCAGCGATCGTTGTTGTGATACTTCGTGATCCGGATGGCACGTTATGCCGTTGGTCCCGGCCGCACTTGCAGACATTTATGCCCTTCCAAATCGCATTAAGACAGCGTGGAGAGTCATGGCCCATCAGTAACAACCAATCAATAAGGAAGACCTGAGCCCTTTCAGCGGGGGGCGTAAAAAGGCTAATACTAGATGGTATTTATTTCTAATTAAACTGCGTAATCGTTATGTTCAAAAAATTTTGCGTATATTTCAGTTTTGATTAAGTTTTTGTGGACATTAGATTTGTGTATTTCTTTCCATCTGTATTTAAAAACGGATAAATAACTTTAAAGTATTAAGAGATAAAATACTGTAACATGTTAGACATTAGTCGGTTAATAACATGTATAGCTGATGCTGTACCTTAAATAAATAAATACATATATGTAGCTTCGAAGTTGAACAGCTAAATTATTTTATTCGAATATCTTGCTATTAATAAAATTAAAAATTGTAAAAAATTTATAATAGTGTTTCGTATCGTGATCCTTGACATTTAACCAGTTCCTTGGGTTTTGTACAGTCGCATTGTAGAAGGACGTTGTGATATTAATGCATTTGTTTACGTTTAGCTGTGCAAATGAATGTCGCTATTCTATGAAAGGGCTAGCAGCTTAATTGGATGGTTGGCTAAGAGATATTCATTACACTTACTTATATATTAGCAATTTAATCTTTGAAATTTAATTTCAACAGCTGTAAGTTTAAAAATCGACCAAGCAATCGTGATTTATATTGTTCTTAGTCTATTTATTTTGGTAACTGTCTGGTAATATCTTATTTTGATGTAGGTAACGAGCGACAAAGAGAATCGGTTAATTATTCCATACTTATATTATTAAACATTTGAAAGTATGTCTGTGTATATGTCAGTTATGCTCTCATGTCTGAGGCACTGAACTGACTTGAATTGAGATAGGATAGGTTGCTTTTTATTGTGATAAAAAGGGTTGAAATAATAAATTAAAGTTTGTAAGGAAGTTCGTCATTGTCAAAGATATAATCATGAAACTTCATTTCAGCTATATTACACGATATAACGAATAAACCTTCTTTTTGAAATGATACCCGAAGGAACTACACGCGGACGAAGTCGTGGGCTAGTACTAATATATACGAAATGCAACAAACGGAGACATTTAATAATGGTTTAACTTAAGAACAAACCTAAGTTAGATCTTGTAAATGTACACTGAAATGGATAAAAAACTTTCTCAATGGAATCTTATCTCAAGTCCTTGAATAAATTAAAGCGGGAATAATTCAATATGTCTATTCCGAACTCTAAAAACACGGTTGAACTTCAAAAGTACATTGATTTAATTAATCTTGTCATAATTTAATATTTGAATTAGCGTGTTTAACTGATATTAAGATAAATCTTCCAATTATTTTATGCTTAATAACTATTATTGTTCGACTAATCTATTTCTTCTAATGAGAACTAAATTATTTTAAATTGTTTCTATTTAGTAAAATATTTTTAAAGAGGCCCCTCAAAACTACTTCTTCTATATTAATATAATAAAGAGGGAAGTTTTGATTGTTTGATTGTTTGCTTCAAATAAGCTCCGAAACTACTGGACCAATTTAAAAAATTCTTGCACCTAGAGGAAGCTTCATATTATATGGTTACCTTAAAACGACTATTCTCTTATAAAATATTGCCCTAGCTCACAACTAAATGTGATTTAGTTTAGTTTATATAACAATACGTGGTTAGCTAAGTTACGTCATATTAAATCTAATATGGTGGACGCTCCAAATTATTTATGTACTGCATTATACGGGTATCAAATGAAACAGTTTACTAAGAAGAGTACGCTGAATAATCTGATTTCATTCTAAATCAACTATGGCAAAATGGCGGATAAGTTATGTTTTCAGTA